GATCTCCTTCATGCCACCCTCAGCTGGGACCCCCAACTCGTCGCTTCCCATCGAGGTTCCGCTCGAGGCCCTGACATGTGGTGTCCCCAGTCGGCCTTCCCAGTGTATGCCCAATCCATCTCAGCTTCCGTTATCTGCATATTTGTTGAGCAATAGGTTCTTGGTTAGTTCGTTACCAGCCAGAGTCCCTTGTTGCTTATTATTTCTGGCCATCTGATCTTCTGTAACGAGTCAGCGTAGGCAGTTGTTAATGAATGTCTGTAGTTTGTTGGAAATCCCTTTCTTAACGCGCCAAACGTTTTACTTGTATACATCGTTAATTATTCCAGTTTATGAGAATGGAGAAAAGTCTTCTGACGACTACAGAATGAATTTGACTCACGTCGTATCCAAAGTCCAACAACTACCTAGAGCTCGAGAAAACCAGGCAGATTTCAGAGGTGGATGGCGGTCCACCAATTAGATCTTTAACCTCCGTCAAGTTACAAACCTGAAAATGGCATTTGACTTTGTCGACCGTTAAGTGTTGTGTCAGTGTCTGACTGGAGTACCGAGCAATTATGTAATACTTATCAAAGCTCACGCAGCCGTATGAGAGTTTATGGAGAGTTGTCATCTGAATTGACAACGACTAATCGTGATGATCAATTTGAACAATGAATAATGACAATGATATACTTCTGTTCACTCTGCCGGATGTCAGAATTTGCCAAGTCAAACTATGTCTTTCTTTATGTCCAATTTTAGATGGAACTAGAAATAAGCGACTGTCCCTATAACGTTGCAAGTGACCATTGCCAGCACAGTCAAGTTGAACAGGTTTTGTGGCGGGATCTAGAAAACGCCCCTCCTGTGATAGCCATAAAGGAATCAGCCTGACAAAAATAGTTTCCAAGATCCTAGGCTTTATAATTCTTCGACATCTGAGTGGAGCTCGGGAACAGCAAGTCCAAGAAAACCAGACAGACAGGTGTGTCAACCAAATTTATTCACACTGCCCCGGGTTCTAGAACACAGACACGCCTACCGACGCCCGACAATAGCTTTATTTCTCGAGCTAAAGGCGGCGGCATTCGACTCCAATGTCTCACTGAAAGGCATGACGAGCGAGTACATCACTTTATTAAAGGCTCTCTACTCAAACACTTGTGAACGTGTTAGAACCTATGGTGAGGTGTCAGGTGGGCTGTGCTCATCAAGTAGTGTCCGCCAAGGATGCTCACTGTCTCCATTCCTATTCAATTTTATCATAGATATTCTTATAGAGGTCTCCCTCTCATCACCTGACAACACAGGTTGACGTAATCGCTGGGGAATTTTCGTTAGACCTGGAAGATGCAGATGACATAGTCCTGTCAGGTGAAGACGCTCACAAGATGCAGAGTCTTTTGAATACTTTGAGTAGCAATATGAGAATGTTTGGAATGCATTTCTCACCACCGAAATGCAAATTTCTGCTCCAGGATCGGTCTTCAACGGTGCCACGGCTAACAATAGAGAGTGAGTGAAGTGGTTGAGTGTGTTGACCACTTCACTTACCGGGGAAATGATATCTGATTATCTACCAAGGGTCGCGTGTACTGCACAGCAGATGGTTGGGACACGTGTTACGTATGCCTAGTCACCGATTGCCTCGTTACACAATGTTGGCCAAAGAAAATTCAGGCTGGAAAATGGCTCGAGGTGGCCAGACTAAAACATGGCACCAATGTATGAAGTCTCTGGCTTTTGATTCCAGCCATGTGGAGGCGATGTAGACTAGCCGGTTTGGATCCGTGGGACAAGAGGAACCAGTGGTTGGAGACTGACTCTAGGTGATATGTCTGACAACCAATGTCAGTGGCGTAGATGTACCCGCACACACATTATTCTCATTTTAACGACGCTATACCGAATCTCACCATTTCCTCATTCTTCCTTTCTGGATTTTCGTATCTTCATCTTCTACTTGACTTGCGTTTTACCTGATGTATTGATGTGAGCTGTTGCAACTTGGACAGTTACGCAGTAATGTCTGGTCCTATGTTGATAGATGATGAGATTATCTTGCTGGATTGGTTCTATCGGATGATCAAACCAGCCGACAAAGCTTATCTCTGAGTAAGTTTATAGGTTTGCATGTCATCCTAGTTTCCTCCTTGTTTAAGATTCTAGAGTTTCTAATTTTCCTTTCTTATGAGGTAACTCAATGGAGGCTGTTAATTCCTTTCTACTCGTGTTACCGTTATTATTTCTTTTTTTGTGTGTTCGCACGAGTTTCTTTATAAACTGAAGAGGATAGTTATTAAGTATTACTGCTTCTTTTATGTGCTTCCGTCTCTTTGTTCATCGATTCAGCACCCACCCAACACACTTGTGTAATAGAGATGACACGACACCCATGTATACCAGAGATATGTGAAAGCTTTTGCTACTAAATGATACAAACTGTGATTACATTGAGATATGATTGTGAGCAATAAACATTCACACTCGAAATGTCGTCATCAATTACATGATACTGTATCACTCAGGCACTCGAGTGGAACCTAGATGGGAAACGATGAGTTGAGCGTCTGAGACCAGGGTGACATGCAAGAGATCATGTGGGGAAGAGATGAAAGCTTCTGGGCAGTCGTGGAGTCATTGAAAAAGTTGGAGAAAAAAGAGTGAAATGGAGATGTGCTACTGAAGCCGTATGTTCCACTAGGAACCCAAGGGACAAATAATAATAATAAAGACAAGCTTACTTGTCACATCAAATTAACAGTTATTAGTCGAGATTGATTTGCTAACATTTACAGTATATTTTGATTTTAATAGACACAGTAGGTAATAGTGTGAATAGAAAATAAAGATTTCGGTATTGGTCAAATGATTTTCTCACCTCATATATTGGATAAATTATTCAATAATCTATTCACCAATTATCTTTCCTTTATCATTGATTATTTAATTTATTTGTATATTTAATTGTAAAGTTACTCATTTACTTTATTGTTGTCATCTGCATTACTTACATATCAGTTGAAAAGTGTGGCAAGTTGAACTGCTTTTGCCTGTCTGTTTGTCTTACTTAACGTGCTTGTGTTTTGGATGAAATATCACTTGTCATATTCAAAGGTAACACCACAACTGTCAAGGTTTATCAGTGTGTGAAGGATAGGCTATCACTTATGTCCACATGTATATGTGTATCTAAAAGTTCACATGCTCCTTTGGAGTTGTAAGCTGGCCACCTAGAAACGTGTTGCCTGAGTATTACCCGGTTTGACTTACCGAAGGTGAATGAAGGAAAACGACTTTATTCATATTTGAACACCTAGTTGGATTAGGTCATCCGGCTACTTGAGTTTTATCCTTTAAAGTAATTTACAAAGGTTTGCATCTTCACCATTCATGCATAGAACTGAAGCATTAGCTATCGATGAACAAAAACCAAAGCTTTGCATTCAAAAAATATTTTGTGAAACTACTTTCTCTCTAGTTGATTTGTTAATTTCATTTCACTTCACTCTGGTATACTTCTCTTTTATTATCATTATCATTATCAACAGTTTTCACTTCATTGACATTTGACCTATATTTCACCAGTTAACATCAATTCCCTGCCTTATTTATTGACCTATTTTTCATGTTTCAGTTAAATAATCATCGATTTACAATTTTTTGTCAGCACATGTCGGTTATCTCATTACTTGTTATCAATTCCTTCCTCCTCATTCACAGTGACTTATTTTTTATTTCTTCCACCACCACCATCTACACCAATTGTAGGTTATGTATATTGACTGATCAACTCTCTTTTTAATAGAACTATCTATCCATCCGGAGCAAAATATTAGGCCGCATCATCCTTGAGAAGCTGAAGGATGTTATGGATTGAAAGCAACGACCGGAAAATGCTGGATTTATGAAGTACAAATCATGTCCAGACCAAATTGCAACGCTACACATCATCATTGAGCAGAGCATAGAATGGCAGTCAACTCTCTACCTCAACTTCATCGACTTTGCGGAGGCCTTTGATAGCGTCGACTGAGAAGTAATTTGGCAACTGTTTCAACACTACGGAATACCACAAATCTTCATCAACCTTATTCTTCAACAGGTATATGAAGATGCCACATGCCAAGTAATTCACAATGGGAAGCTCAGTGATACCTTTGATATGAAGACAGGAATGAGATAAGGCTGTCTACTATCACCCATGATATTCCTGATTGTAGTGGACTGGATCATGCAACAAATAGTGAGAAGCGAGAAGATGGCCATACTCTGGACCGGGGAAAAGATCCTAGAACATTTGGATTTCGTCAATGATGACTTATGTCTGTCATAGAAACTTGAAGATCTACAGACAGGTTAGTGAAGACAGGACTTCAAGTGAACGTAGAGGAGACAGAGGTGATGATGATACCCAACAAACTCCACCACCACCAAAAACAACAACAAACTCCAATCTCCATCAAAGGGAGAAACTCAAAGAAAGTAGCCTCTTTCACCTATCTAGGTAGCATCGTTTCAACTAAAGGCGGCACAGGCACAGACGAGGACGTGAAAGTCAGCCAGGATCGGAAAAGCAAAGCAAGGCAGGCGTTCATTGGCCTGGAACCAGTGTGGAGATATTCTGCACTCAGCATAAAGAAGATTCGGATTTTCAACACCAACTCAGTCAAGTCAGTGCTTCTATGTGATGGTTGGGAGAATTGGGGCGTTACGGAAAGCATTTCCAAAAAACTACAGATATTCATCAACAACTGCCTACTGAATCTCAGACGGCCATAAAGAATAAGCAACAAGGAACTCTGGCAACGAACCAACCTGTTGCTCAACAAATATGCAGAAGGAAGTGGAGATGGACTGGGCATGCACTGAGAAGACCATTCGGGGACATCACGCGCCAGGCACTCGAGTGGAACCCAGATGGGAAACGGCAAGTTGGGCGTCTGAAGCGAGGGTGAGATGGAGGAGATCGTGTGAGGAGCCAGGTTGAAAAGATTGCAGAGAACAGAGTGGAATGGAGGCGTGCTACCGAACCCGTATGTTCCACTAGGAACCCAAGGGACATATAATAATATAATAATTACCGAGTTAAAATGCAACTGTACAGCTTGCTAATGATGTCGTTTAAAAGAAATGCTTCTTCTTAGCTGACACATGTCTCGTACTTACATATCAGTTGAACAGTGTAGCACGTTGAACCGATTTCGTCTGTTCGACATCAGTTATGTTTTGGACAATACACTACTTAGAATATTCAACGCTTAGCTTCAGTTTCTAGCAGGTTTGTAACACTTACAGATGCCGAATCACTGCCTACCTTGACGCCCAATATTAGCTGAAGTTAGATTGAATAGCCTAATCCATGTAGGAAGGTGTCGACTGCCTGGTTAGGGCGCCTTGAAGACGATAGGAATCAGCAATTGAGGACTCTTGAAGACATAGCTGAAGATCGGTGACAATGTTTTTTCCAAATGCTTACTCATCTATAGCACTTTTATCTATTTTCGTTGAGTCTCTTTTGATACATCTACTGATTGCTGAGTAATCTAAATGGAAATCTAAGAATTCTGTGATAGTCTTTGTGTTCCTGCATTCAATATTTCCGAACCTTCAAGGTTGGATTCATGTTCATAGTTTTTCTGCATATATTGATGTGTAGAATCAAATATCGTGATGTTTAATTGCTATTCAGTGTTCATATAGTTTGTATTTCTTTGAATGTTACCACTTTTAGTCTGTTTAATACAGTTTGAAGGGGATTTATTAGTTTATGATCCTTTAGGAAGGTGGTAGAGTATTTTTTTAGTCAAGTTAACTGGTTTTAACTACTAGTATACGTGAGTCCTATGTGATCCTTTCTGACTGATCTTATTCACTGATTATTGCGGTCTTCAAGAAAGACAAGAAGTCCACAGGAAAATCAGCCTGATGAACATAGTGTCCAAGATTCTATAATCTGGTAAAACAAAGCCTAGAAGATCAGGCAGGCTTTAGACTGAAATATTCATATTGCTCCGGGTTCTGGAACATAGGTACGTTTATCGGCGCCCGAAAATAGTTATATCTCTCGACGTGAAGGCGGCAACATTCGACTCCGTTGATTGAGAAATTCTTATGGCAGTGTCTCTCATTGAAAGGGGGTACCGAGAAAGTACATCACCCTATAGAGTCTTTGGTGAGATATCGGGTGAATAGTGTACGTCGAGTGCTGTCCCTTAAGGATCCCCATTCTCTTCATTCCTGTTCAGTTTTATCATATACATTATTATTGAGATCTCCCTCTCAACATCTGACCACACAGGAACTGACCTTATCACAAGAGAATTTTCGGTAGACCTAGTGTACGCCGTTGACATAGTCCCCTTAGATGAAGACTGATAAGGTGCGGAGTCTTCCTGACACCTTGAGAGAATGTTTAGGATGCGTTTTTCGCCACCCAAGCGCAAATTATTGCTCCAGGACAGACCTTCGACGGTAACCCGACTAACAAGAGAAAGTGAAGTGGTTGAACACTTCACTTAGGTAGGAAGTAGAATCATCCCTGGTGCATTGGTCAGCGGTTGACAAAATCTCTGGATGAATACAAAAGGCTTAGTTGGCTTTTCCCAACTTACACCATCTCTAGCGCCGCGTCATATTCGTTTATTAGAGTCATTAAAGGTATAAGACATGAGAAGGCTTGAGATATTTGACGACTGTTGCCTTCGTGGCATACACCATATATGGTGGTATCACCACGTGAGCAACATAGAAGTCAGGTACCCGGCTAGGTCGGTGGGGTAGGTTTCGGCTGGAAAAAGGTTCGGGGTGGCCAGACTTGACATCAATGCATGAAGTCTTTGACTAGTAGTTCGAACTATGTAGGGTGATTCGGACTGGTCTATTTTTGTGGTATTATTATTTGTCCTTTGGGTTCCTAGTGGAACATAGGGCTTCAGTAGCACGTCGCCATTTCACTCTCTCGTCTCTACAGTCTTTTCAACCTGGCTCCACAAATGCCAATAAGCTTCCAGTTCTTCCTCACACGATCTCCTCCATGTCACCCTCAGACACCCAACTCATCGTTTTCTATTTGGCCTCCACTCGAGGGCCTGACCTGGCCTGATGCGTGATGTCCACAAATTGTCTTCTCAGTGTGTATTCCTAGTTGCGTATTCTTTCTGGCCATCTCATCCGATTTTCAATATCGACCGAGTGTGGGCGGAAGCTGCTCATTGATGTCTACAGTTTGTTTGAAATGCTTTTTGTGACATGCTAAGTCTCATAACCATTACATGGGAGCACTGACTTGACTGACATTGATGTTGCAAATCCGGATCTTGTTCAGTTTTTATGCTGAGTGCAGTGCAGTGCAGTGCAGTAGATCTGCACACTGATTATTTCAGACTGATGAAGGAAGACCTATCTCGGTGTCTTTCCAATCCTCGCTTTCACATCCTCATCTGTGCCGCCACCTGTAGTTGAAATGATCCTGCCCAGGCAGATATGTAGGTGAAAGAGACTACATCCCTTAGACTTATTCCGCTGATGGTGATTGGTGTTTGTTGTTATTGTTGGCTGGGTATCTTCATCCCCTCTGCCTTCTCTACGTTTGCCTGAAGGAAGTCGTGTCTTCCTTTGCTACCCTATCTCTTCTGACAACTTGTTGGTTTTCGCCTGTAGATCTTTGAATTTCTGCAACATAAGACATCAAACATAAATCATCACCATTGGCGAAATCGAAATCCTCTGGGATCATTTCATCAATCCAGTCAGTGTATGCCCATCTTTTCGCTCCTCACAGTTAGTTTGTTGCATGATCCAATTCAGTCTAGTCGACCACAATGAGGAAGATGATCGATGATAGTAGACGGCAACCTTTCCTTACTCCTTCCTATCTTCACCTCACTTTAAAGGCATCAGTGAGCTTTCCATTATGAATCACTTAGCATGTAGCATCACATAGCATATAGATGCTGTTAAATGAGGTTGGTAAAGGTTTGTGGCACTCATTGTGTAGTGTTGAAACAGTTGCCAAATTACTTCACAGTCGACTCTGTCGAAGACCTTTTCAAAGTCAGCCCATCATATCCTTCACTATCGTTTATTGGTTTCATTTGTGTTGAACTTCTATGGTATATTTATCTTCCATTCTCTTCACCCCTCGTTTTTTCTCATTTATCTCAAAGCATAAATACTATCATTATAATGTCTGAGATATCAGTATCTACTGATGAAGTTTTCAATACTTTCATCAATAATATGCTTAATTCATCAAAGACTATTGAAATAATTCATCATCAAGATATAATGTTGAATAAATTTGAAAAGACAAATGAAATGTTACGTACTGTTACAGAACTCTCTGAAACAAGATATCGTATACTGTTTACTGAATTCACTGAACATATTAAAACAATTATATTATTAAAAAAAGATATTGATAATATATTTAAACGTATACAATTTATTAAAAAATTATTATCTATACATTATCCAAATGATATGCATAATGTTAATGAACAGTTCTCTAGTAAATATTGTCAACAAAAAGATGAGATTAATGATAATAGTATAGAGAGAAGTTGTCAACAAACAGATATTGTTATTCCACCTATAAAGACAATGGAAACTGTTCATGAAGATTTATCTTTTGAATGAAATTCAATCCAACCTGTTAGATATATACACCCTGATGATTAATGTTCAGTACATGGTATGAGAAAGTACATGATCTTGGTGTGGTTGTATGAAAGGGTTGAAAAGAGTTCACCATTGTACACTGTATAATAATAATAATAATATACTTCTAATAGTTAATCTACACTTCTATACACTTTCTTTTGTTGCGTATTGCATGAATGAATGAATGAATGAAATTAAACCCTAACCTGATAGCATAGAATGGCAGTCAAATTCATCGCTTTTGAAAAGGCCTTCGATAGCGTCACCTGTGAAGTAATTTGGTAACTGCTTCAACACTATACAATGAGTGCCACAGACCTTTATCAACCTCATTCAACACCATCTATATGATATATGATGCTACTGTGGAAAGCTCAGTGAAACCTTTAAAGTGGGGTGAAGATAGGAATGAGTAAGATAAGGTTGCTGCCTACTATCAACACCGACTGAACTGGATCATGCAACAAACTAACTGTAAGGAACTAGAAGGTGAGCATACACTGAATAGATCGATGAAAAGACCCTAGAGGACTTAGATTTCACCTATGATGATTTATACCTAATGTCTCACAAGCTCTAAGATCTATCAGTGAAAACTAACAAGTTGGGAGAAGAGACAGGGCAGCGAAGGAAGACAGGATATCCTTCAGGTGAACGCAGAGAAGAGAGAGGTGATGAAGATCCCCAACCACCACCAACAGTAACAAGCACCAATCATCATCAACGGAAGAAATGTAAGGGAAATTGTCTCTCACCACCTATCTGCCTAGGTAGCATCGTTTCAACTACAGATGGCGGCCTCACTCAGTCTGCCCGCCTGTGCATTAAAGTCACCTGCAACAACAGCCACGTCGGAACGTTTGGCTTTCGAGAGGAGGCTAGGCATACGGTAGAACTCGTCCTTCACTTCATCCGTGCTGCAGTTAGTAGGTGCGTAAGCAGAGATTACAAAGAGACAACGGCGAGTCTCACTATTCCTTTTAGTTTTTACTGTGCCGTTCAGCCTCATAACGCAGAGGCGACTATCAACTGGGATCCAGTCTAGTAGTGAGTTTTCTGCTCTAGTGCCTAATGCTATGCCTACATCTACAAAACCGCGAGAGCTAGCTATCGAATCTCCAGAAACTCGAAAGGCGAATTTCGGGGATTCACGAGATTGGTAGGGAGAGGTCAGATGAATAACCACACTTGGGTCCTGTATGCGCGTTTCACAAACAGCACACATCCATGCGGTGAGTTGCTAGAGTCTTTGCCAACAGAGCCTATTGACCAATTTGACGCAGGGTGTGGACATTGAAGGTTCCGATATGTAATTTGGAGCATGGTTTAGGGAGACCAGTGATGCTGTTCTGTGAATTCAGATCCTTATCAAAGGCTGCATAGCTTGGAGAAAATGTTAGTTGAGAGAGAAACATGAAGGAAGATGGGAAAGAGGTGGATTGCAGTCTGAAGAAATTTGATTGCTGATAAAATTGTGAGGTTGGTTGACACTTCCCGATTTGCCATACCATGGAAGGCTGTTTCTTCTTAAGATACATTCAGCCTTTTGTTGTTTTTGAGGTTGACTAGTTGAAAAGAAACGATAAATGAACCAACATCGTTGACCTAACAGACCTTGATGTATAGTGGAGTGTGTGTTGTATGTGTGCATGTGTGAATAATGATAATGATACATTTCTATAATAGTTAATCTACACTTCTATTGTTAATAATTACTAATCTACCATATATTTCTTTGTATAGAGATGTTTTCTTGCCTACAAATAATTCATATTATATATCAAGATATCAAATCAGCTCGTTCATTACTTAATTATATCATCTCTGAGGTGAATCAATTGACAAGTATTGAATGTAAAGCAGTACGTGCTATACGTGTCAACTTTGTGATTATTCTATGTTTACTCTACCTACTTATTGAGTGTAATCTTAGTAATAGGTTAGTTTATTATCCTATTTTATACTAATATAAAATATACTTTCTGTTTAGCCTTACATTGACAGCATTTACCCATTTATTAATATTTGACTTGTTATCTGTGATTGTTGGATTAATAAGTTTATGGAGTTGTCGTAAAAAATCATCACTACATACTTATACATTTGGATATGAAAGATTTGAAGTGGTCGGTGTATTTTCATCAACTATTCTAGCTATACTATTATCATTCTTTGAAATTAAAGAAGCTGTGGAACGTATATTTGAACCAGTTGAAGTGAGTGAATTATCTTATCTTAGTATTATTGCCTGTCTTCTTCATTTCAGATTATATTACCACCCTTGATATAAACATGTATATATAATTTGTCCATTGGGTTCCTTTGACAGCGTCGACCGAGAAGTAATTTGGCAACTGTTTCAACACTACGGAATACCACAAATCTTCATCAACCTTATTCTTCAACAGGTATATGAAGATGCCACATGCCAAGTAATTCACAATGGGAAGCTCAGTGATACCTTTGATATGAAGACAAGAATGAGACAAGGTTGTCTACTATCACCCATGATATTCCTGATTGTAGTGGACTGGATCATGCAACAAATAGTGAGAAGCGAGAAGATGTTCATACGCTGGACCGGGGAAAAGATCCTAGAACATTTGGATTTCGCCAATTTGGTCTGAACATGATTTGTTCTTCCTGAAGCCAGCCAGCTTGTTCAGGTCGTAATTTGGAATCCAGAGTATGGTTTAGTCTCTCCAGGATGGTACGGCTTAATATTTTGCTAGGGGTGGACTGCAGCATGATTCTATGCGAGTTCTGGCAAAGAATTAGTTCACCCTTTTTATGGGAGTTTGCCAAGGTAGCCCTTCTTCCAATCTGCAGGTGCCTCCCCTTCCCTTTCTTTCTTCCAAACTTCTGGAGTAGTGGTGTGAGCGTATCTGCTGTTGTCTCTGCGTCTGTTTTCAGTGCTTCTGGAAAAATTCCATCTGGTCCCACTGCTTTCCTGGATTTTTCCAACTTTATGGCATCCAGCATTTCTGCTGTTGTTTTAGGGTTTATGTTCACTGATAGTTCTGTGGTTGGGCTGTTGGTGGTATTTCTGGACGAATTTCAGTTGGTGGGGGTGATCGATTCAAGAGTTTGTTGGAAGTGGTCAGCCCATTGTTTCTCGTCTTTGGTAACGAAGTTTCCTTCACTAATTTACATTGGTCTCATCTGCGTTGATCTCTTTCCAAATAGTAAACTTGGTTATTTGATATAGTGTTTTCAGGTCTCTCCTACCAGCAACCTGTTCTGCTTCAGTTGTAAGTGTATCGTAGAAGTGTTTTTTGTCCTTCTGTGCAATCTTCTTCACTTCTTTGTCCAGTGTTTTATACGTTGTGTTCATCTCCTCTTTTCGTTGTTCATCCTTGCACTGGTTTCTCTTTTATTCTATTCGTCTGTACTGATCTGTTCCATATATATATCAGCATATTGACGTACTGATTGGCATTTTACTTCATGGTGATTAGAACGCTTATTTTCTCCAACGCCTACTGCTGCTATCTAATTCGAAATATCACAGCACGTAGGTGAACAGTAACGTCACACTGAAACCGCCTTACCAGTGAAATGGATTGCAGGTTGCACGAGGCTTGCCTGACGTCCAATACTATGCTATAAGAAGTTAGATCACCTTGAAAGTGGCTTTCGGGGTGGCCAGATGAAAATGTTTGTGTAGGTTGGGTTCATATGATGCAGTGACCAGGTGTGAGATTTTGTCATGAAGTCTCTGAGCTCACAATCCACTGGAGTCTTAACACTCATCGAATCTATGTATCTCTCTGTCCAGTGTGAAGTACGGTGTAATAATCCAAGTTGCTACAGAAGGGAAGAAAATACGTCACTGACATCGATTCTTCCTCCGCGGACCCCAACCGGCTAATCTGCATTGCCCTAGTTGTCTCAAATCAACAGTCAACAGCTTAATGCAATGATGCCATGTTTTAGTTTGGCCACCTTGAGCCTTTTTCTCGCCTGAACCCTACAACATTGTGTGATGAAGCAGACGACGGTTAGGCATACGTAACATGTCCCAGCCATGTCAGTCAATGAAGGTTCTATCCTGAAGAATATTTGTCAGTTGCCCCTAGTCAGTTGTATTATCTAACCGATTGTAAACCGTCCGTTAATCACATGAATCTCTTACCGATATATACTACTGACTAACTTAAGTGAGTAGTCTTGACTATTTTGGGTTAGAATGATGCAATGACTAGACTATTTCTCTCGTGTAGGTTGATTCAGCTAATACAGGGGAGGTGGAGTAAGGGACAGAATAAGGCAAACAAGGCCAAGTTTCTGTTATCTCTTCATCTTGGTGTTAGACTCTCACAAACGCTTACTTTTCATGCTAATGAAGTCTATCTAGTACTAAGGAGAAGTTGGATTACGTTGGAAACGGGTTCAAAGTTGCGAAACCACTATGCAGTCCTAGTTGATCGAATTTCTGACTTTATCTCAGGCGTGAAGAGATATGTTACCTACGAAACGATGGAAATCAGTCGTGGTGGTGAGGGTACTCTTTCGAGAAATACCTCCACAATGTTCATTCTCTCACCCAGTATAAATACTGGTGTGCCAAACTATAACTATCTCAGAATAGGTGGATAGAAAAAGACTCATATCAAAGTAGACAAGGGTTGGTGGAAATATTGAAGTTTTAGAAGACGTCATCGAATGAATACATTTGCGATGACATCGTGACCGATTTTCAGTAATATCCTCAAAGAGTCCTTAACCACTGATTGATACCTTTCGTCTCAAGGACACTAAAGGCTCAAATTAACAGTTAGAAACTTCATTGACTGTCACCAGGCCTTGGTTTGTTCACTATAACCCCCTTCAACCTAAATCTAATTCCACCCCTTCCACGTCGAGGTAGACAGTGGCTTAGCCTGCGCAGTATATGCGCTCAAGTCATGTCAGACAATGAAGGTTTACAAACTTATCGATTCCTTTCTTCGATGTAGTAATGGAACGTTAAAGAGATTCATCTAGAGGAAACCTATATGAAAGGGATAGCTTACTAATTTTTATAATTGAATGCCAATTATAAGGACAGAGAGACCTTAATTACAAAATATATGAAGTATAGATTGTACTTAAGGATTACGGTAATGGAAAATACTTATTCTATCCGATTTGTTGGTGAAAATATGAGAGAAAGACATTAGATGAAATGAGTGATTAACTCAGTTTCTAAAAGCGAGTTTTATTTTCCTATCTAGGAATGTCTTAGAACACTGTCAACATGAGGATGTACTTGAAACCCCCTACATTTCAAACGCTGGCCATCTCAGCTGCGTCTTTTTACGCATAAGTAGGGATATCTAGTAATGGTCCTTCCGCAGGTTCACTTACGGATAATCACAAAGGAATCAGCCTAACGAGGATAGTGTCTACGATTCTACGTTCTATAATTCTTCGACACCTGAATGGAGCTCGGGAACAGCAAGTCCGAGAAAACCAGACAAGCTATAGACCCAGCCGTGAGAGTATCGACCAGAAATATTCACACTGCGCCAGGTTCTAGAACACAGACACGCTTAGCGACGCCCGACAATAGCTGTATTTCTCGACCTGAATGCGGCAGCATTCCACTCCGTTGATCGAGAAGTCTTATGGCAATGTCTCTCACTGAAAGGCGTGCCGAGGAAATACGTCACCTTATTGAAGGCTCTCTACTCAAACACTTGTGGGCGTGTGTTAGAACCTATGAAAGCTATGCTCATCGAGTTGTGTCCGTCATAGTTGCCCACTCCCTCTATTCTTATTCAATTTTATCATCGATATGGCTTAGAGATGTACATCTCATGTTGAGCCACCCGCCCTCTACTTCGATATGCTATGCTGCAGAGAAGTTGGATTACGTTGGAAAAGGGTTCAGAGTGGTGAAACCACTACGCAGTACCAATCGATGGAGTTTCTGTCTGTTGATCTCAAACGAGACAACAGGAATCACTAGTGGTGGTGGATACTTTTGTGTACTTCTTAGAAGTGTTGCAACTTCAGCCGATCCACTTATGTGTGTGTGTGTGTTTATTTGCAAGGTACTACATTGATTTTATCAACCAGTCAGATATGTATAGTACTGATATATAGTAGTAGTTAGCAGCGGAATTTAGGACTCGCCTGTTTCGTCTCACTCGGAAAGGATTCATCAGCCGTTACGTGTATACCTATAATCTAATGCAGTATGTTCAATATTCAATAATATTGATTGAAACTTGATATTTTACCATCCCTTATCTATAATTTCATTTAGATATATCCAAATCATATGGTGACACCATGTTTAATTGGTTTTGGTGTTCACCTTTTAACAATTTATGGAATTGACAATATCGCGTTTAGTCATGTTATTGAAGCGTGTGGATCAAGTTGGCTACAGGTTAGTTGAATGTTGTCAACTTTGTACAATATATTTAAAGATAATATTCATCAATTAAAAAAGTAATGAATACCTAAAGGTCAGGGGGACAGTAGAGGTTTCGTCCAAGAACGAGACTTCTCAGCAGTACAGATGCCGAACTCAAACCATTCACAAAATTACTACAAAAGTTGTAGATTGCATAAGTCAGTCTAGTTAACAGCAACATCGAATTCAAACAACATCCTCCTAACTACTGTTGAGAATTGAACAACTAGAATATTTCTTCGAGGATAATTATGTCCTACCCTGAGATTTGAACTTTAGAGTCATTTAGGGTTGTCGTCAGCTACACGTTACCTCTAAGTTGTATATATGGATGGACTAATACATATGAAGACGCTTGTTCAGAGATTACCTAAAGGAAGTTGTCTCTTTCACCTACCTACCTAGTCAGCATCGTTTCAACTACAGGCGACACAGGTACAGATGAAGATGTCAAAGCCAGGATCGGAAAGACAGCAAGACAGGCCTTCCTAGATTAATCTGAAATGATCAGTGTGGAGATCTACTGCTCTGCACTAAACTCAATATAAACAACAAAATGCGGATTTTCAACATTATTTCAGTCAAGTCAGTGCTTGCTTCTATGTGATGGTTGAGGGACTTGGCGCGTAAAGAAAAGTATTTCCAACAAACTTCAGACATTCATCAACAGATACCTACGCTCGATACTGAAGATCAGATCAGACGGTCAGAAAGAATAAGCAAGGATGAACTCTAGTCTGGCAACGAACTAATCAGGAACCTATCGCCCAACAAATATGCAGAAGAAGAAAGTGAAGATGGATTGGACTAGACATACACTGAGAAGACGATTTGGGGACATCACGCGCTAGGCCAGGCCAGCCTGTCGAGTGGAACACACATGGAAAACGATGAGTTGGGCGTCTGAGGGTGATATGGAGGAGGAGATGGTGTGAGGAAGAAATGAAAGCTTTTGAGCAGAAGTGGAGCCATTTTCAAAAGACTGGAGGGAAAAGAGTGAAATGGCGACATGCTTTTTTTCTTTATATTGAGTTGAGTGCAGAGCAGTAGATCTCTACATTGATTGGTTCCAGATTGATCCAGGAAGGCCTGTCTTACTGTCTTTCCGATCCCGGCTTCAACATCATCTGTGCCGCCACCACTTGTAGTTGAAACGATGCTACCTAGGCAGATAGGTGGTGAGAGACAATTTCCCTTACATTTCTCCCGTTGATGGTGATTGGTGCTTGTTGTTGATGCTGTTGTTGGTTGGGTATCTTCCTCTCCTCGATCTTCTCTACGTTGACCTGAAGGAAGTCCTGTCTTCCTTCGCTATCTTGTCTCTGTCAGCTTGTTAGTTTTCGCCCATAGATCTTCGAGTTTATGCGACATTAGACATAAATCATCATAGACGAAATCGAAATCTCCTAGGATCGTTTGATCGGTGCAGTCAGTATATGCCCATCTTCTCGCTCCTCATAGTTAGTTTGTTGCATGATCCAGTTGCATCCAGTCGACCACAATAAGGAAGATGATCGGTGATAGTAGGCGCCGGCGTCGTCTTACTCTTATCTTCACTTCAAAGGCATCAGTGAGGTTTCCATTGTGAATCATTTGGCATGTAGCATCATATGGCACATAGATGTTGTTGAATGAGGTTGTTAAAGGTTTGTGGCACTCACTGTGTGTTGTTGGAGCAGTTGCCAAATTACTTCACAGTCGACGTTATCGAAGGCTTTTTCAAAATGGATGAAGTTGAGGTAGCTGAGAAATAATTGAGGTTTTAAGAAAACAGCTTATTCTCCATGGGATTTGAATTGAAAAGATTAAAGTCACTGATTGAAAAGAAAACATCCTTATTTACTGTCGAACTATCGAGTTCCACCTAGCTGTTTTTCCTCCAAGGTCTTCTGGACACCTTGAGTCCCAATTTGGGAATGTTTGGTCTTCAACGATGCCTCAGCTAACAGTAAGGAGTAAAGTAGTGGTTAACCGCTTAGAACACTTCACTTACTTGGGAAGTTCGATGAGCCGTGGCGTGTTGACCGACGAAATTTCCGCCGCTACAATATCAGATTGTCTATTAAGGATCAAGTGTAGTGTACTACAGTCCGCTTTGTTCTACTATATGACTGCGAAACATGACCATTGAAGGTAGAAGACATGAGGAGGCTTCAGGTGTTTGGCCACCGCTGCTGCCTAGTTGCCGATTGTCTCATCATACAATGTTGGCCGAAGTAAGCTCAGGCTGGACAAACGCTCAGAGCGGCCATATTGAAATATCGCACCATTACATGAAGTTCTTGAATAATGGTTTGAGCGATGTAAGGCGATACACACTAGGCAGTTACTGTCGGCGGGACTAGAGAAACCACCAACGGTTAGAGACTGTAGGGGAGATGATGATATAACTGAGAACTGGTGTCATCCACTGTTGACCAATTTTTTTTGCCTCTCCATTTTATTGTCTTAGTACCTTGATGTACTGATATGAGATGAGATAGATGTGTGCCAACTTGGACGGTTAAGCAGTAATACTGATAGGGACCCTACGTTTTCTTTATTACCTGTATTTTCTTCTTAATATAGAGAACTTTTAAGACCTAATCACCAACTGTATTTTTTTCATTCTACAGGAACATACTACTGATATAAGTAGGACAATTTGTCGAATTATCCCTGGACTATCACGTGTTCTTCTACCACGTGTTAATCCTATCTCACTGATTGGTGTAAGCGCTACATCAACAGTTTGTATTGTCTATCTTATATTGATCAATATGTCACAGAGTAGTAGTAGTACACAGTTGTCAACCAATTTTCCAAATCCATTACCGGATACTTTAGGCGGAATAATCATCTCTTTAATGCTATTTGGAACAATGATGCCGATGATGTTGTACAGGTGAATTGAATTTTGTGATGTTTTACACCATTTTTGTTTGTTTGTTTAAATGTTTTCGGTTTATGCTTTTTAGTGTATGAAGGCTGTTCGACAGCCGTAGGTGGGTGGGATGTCGGATCAGCTGTGGTGCGTTGGTCAGTATTATTATTATTACTTGTTATTTCACGGACAAATGTCCGTTGGATTCCTAGTGAAACATAGGGCTTCAGTAGCATATCGCCGTTTTTGCGTATTTGTTGAGTGATAGGTTCTTGGTTGTTTCGATCTCATAGTTCCTTGTTGCTTATTCTTTCTGGCCATCTGATCTTATCTTCAGTATCGAGCCAGCGTAGGCAGCTGTTGATAAATGTTTGTAGTTTGTTGGAAGTGCTTTTCATGACACGGCTAGTTTCTGAACCATATCGCAGCACTGACTTGACTGAATTGTTCTTCTTTATCCTGATTGAAGTGTAGTGCACTGCAGTATATCTCCATACTGATTATTTCAGATTGGTGAAGGCCTGTCTTCGTTTGCTTTTCCGATCCTGGCTTTGACATCGTCGCCTGTGCCACTTATAGTTGAAACGATGCTGTCTAGGTAGGGAAAAGAGACTACTTTCTTTAGGTTTCTCCCGTTGATGGCGATTGGTGTTAAAGCAGTTCCTTCTTCATCTGCAGTAGTGGTACTAGTACTGTGAGTAGAAGTAGTAGTACCGTGCGTAGTAGTACCATGGGTAGTAGTAGTACTGTGATTAGTCGCATTAGTAGTAGTAGTGTGAGTATTAGCAGCAGAAGTGGTAGTATTAGTAACACTGTGATTACCAGAACTGTGAGTCGTAGAAGTAGTGGTAAGAGTAGTGCTATTACACGTGATAGTAGCAGTAGTATTATTGCGAGCAGCAGTAGCAGTAGTGGTAGCAGCAGTAGTAGTAGTAGTAGCAGTAATAGTAGTAGCGGTAGTAGCAGTAGTAGTGGTAGTGATTTTGAGTTTGAACTTCATTTTGTGCTCAGGTTAGCGTTTGTCTTTGATTTTCAGTTTCAGTTCGTGTTTGAGTTGTGGTTTGTGTTTCAGTTTTTGTTTGAGTTTCAGTTTGTGTTTGATTTTCGGTTTGAGTTTGTGTTTCAGTTTCAGTTTGTGTTCCAGCTTCACTTTCTGTTTGATTTTCAGTTTGTCTCGGAGTTTCAGTTTGTGTCTGAGTTTTCGTTTTTCTTTGAGTTTGTGTTTCAGTCTCAGTTTCGGTTTCAGTTTGAATTTCTGTTTGAGTTGTCGTTCGAGTTTGAGTTTCAGTTTGTGTCTGAGTTTTAGTTCGTGTTTGAGTTTCAGTTTGTGTTTGATGTTTAGTTCCAGTTTGTGATTGATTTTCAGTTCGTGTCTCAGTTTCGGTTTCAGTTTGTGTTTCGCCGTGAATTCTAGTTGGAGTTTGTGTTTTTGTTTCATTTTCACTTTTAGTTTGAATTCGTTCTTCAGTTTCGGTTTGGGTTTTAGTTTGTGATTGATTTTCGCGTTGTGATTGAGTTTCAGTTTGAATTTATGTTCAGTTTGTCTTTGATTTCTCGTTTGATTTTCATTATGTGTTTGAGTTTCTGTTTGTGTTCCAGTTTCAATTTATGTTTCAGTTTGTGTTTAGTTTCAGTCTTAGTTTGAGTTTCAGTTTGTGTTTGATGTTTAGTTCCAGTTTTGTGATTGATTTTCATTTCGTGTCTCAGTTTCGGTTTCAGTTTGAGTTTTAGTTTGTGTATCAACTTCAGTTTCTGTTTGTGTTTGATTTTCATTCAGTTTGTGCTTCAGTTTCAGTTTTATTTTCAGTTTGTGGTTTGACTTTCGGTCTTGGTTTCAGTTTTGTTTTGAGGTTGATGGTTTTTTTTTTCGTCTGAGTTGGGTTTGACTTTCAGTCTGAGTTTGAATTAGATTTTCAATTTCATTTAGAGTTTTAGTCGGTGTTTGAGTTCAGTTTCAGGTTGATTTGGAGTTTGAGTTTCATTTTGCGGTTTGAGTTTCACTTTGGGTTTGAATTAGATTTTTAGTTTCATTTGGAGTTTCAGTTGCAGTTTGAGTTCAGTTTCAGGCTGAGTTTCACTTTGAGTTGCGTCCGAGTTTGAGTTACAGTGTCAGTTTGATTTTCAGCTTGCGTTCGACTTTAGGATTCAGTTTGAGTTATGCCTTTCAGTAGCTTTAGTTGTAATTGTAATGATACTAGTAGGAATAATACTGTGATTAATAGTACTGTTAGTCGTAGTGGTATTACTAATAACAGTAGTAGTACCGTCAGTACTAGTAGCAGTATTAGTAGTGTGAGGATTAGTTGTATTGTGAGTAGTAATAGTAGTAGTATTACCTTTGATATGTTTCATGTGTTATATATACTTTACTTGCAAGTGGATACAGGTTTGTATTAAGTAGAAATGTATTAATTGATTAATTAGTTACTTATACATCATCCTGTGTTCTTTATTATACACACATATATGTACAGCGGTCGTATTTTATTACAAACCATACCAAGTCATTTAGTTAGTCCATTGGATAAAGCTATTCATGAAGCTTCTACAGTAGATGGTGTACTTGAATTACAAAATGAGCATATTTGGTCAATTGGTTATAAAAATTTAGCTGGTTGTCTATATGTACGTGTACGTCGTGATGCTAATGAACAATTGGTACTAGCCCATGTTACTAACAAATTATACAGTTTAGTAAAATATTTAACAATACAAGTGAGTTAGTTATACTTTCACTCTTCAAATGTTCATTACTATTATTATTATTTACTTTATTTGTCCCTTGGGTTCTTAATGGAATATAGGGCTTCACTAGCAGGTCTCCATTCCACTAAATTCTCTGCAATCTTTTGAACCTGCTTCCACGACTGTCCACAAGCTCTCATTTCTGCCTCATACGATCTCCTCCATGTCACCCTCAACTGGGACGCCCAACTCGTCGCTTCCCATCTGGCTTCCACTCAAGTGCCTGGCCTGGCGCGCGATGTCCCCGGTCGGCCTTCTCAGTGTATGCTCAGTCCAATCCATCTCCACTTCCTTTTGCATATTTGTTGGGTTCGTTGACAACCAGCCAGTTATTTGTTGCTGATTCTTCCTGGCCATCTGAGCTGATCTTCAGTAACGAGCCAGCGTAGGTGGCAGTTGTTGATGTCTTTAGTTTGTTGGAAATCCCTTTCGTAACGCGCCAAGTCTCTGAGCCATACAGAAGCACTGACTTTACGTTGGTGTTTAAAATCCGAATCTTCTTCTTTATGCTGAGTGCAGAAGATCTCCACACTTGTTTCAGACAAACGAACGCCTGACTTGCAGTCCTGGCTGGCTTTGACGTCCTCGTCTCTGCCGCCGCCTGTAGTTGAAACGATGCTGCTTAGATAGGTGAAAGAGGCTACTTCCTTTAGATTTCTCCCGTTGATGAAGATTGGAGCTTGTTGTTATTGCTTATTATCATTTTTGTTATCTTTACTATTACTATCATTATTAACATTCTTATTATTACCACTATCAATATTATCGTTATTATTACCATCTGTTTATTATCACACAAACTCGAAGGTGTACAGGCGAAAACTAACACGTTGACAGAAGAGGCAGGGGAGCGAAGACGGGACTTCAAGTGAATATAGAGAAGACAGAGGTGATGATGATACGCAACCAACAGCAACAACAAACACCAATCACCATCAACTATGGAAACCTAAAGGAAGTAGTCTGTTTCACCTATCTAGGCAGGATCGTTTCAACTACAGGCGGCACAGACAAGGATGTCAAAGTCAGTCAGGATCGGAAAGACAGCAAGACAGGCTTTCTTTAATCTTAAATGATCAGCGTGGAGATCCACTGTACTCAGGACGAACAACAAGATCCGGATTTTCAACACCGACGTCATTTCAGTGCTGCTGTATAGTTCAGAGACTTGGCGCGTCACGAAAAGCATTTCCAACAAACTGCAGACATTCATCAATAGCTGCTGCCCCCGCTTACTCGATACTGAAGATTAGATGGACGGCCAGAAACAATAAGCAACAAGAAACTCTGGCTGATCGCGAAACAACCAAGAACGTATCACTCAACAAATATGCAGACGACGGAAGTGGAGATGGATTGGATTGGGCATACACTGAGAAAGCCGACTGGGGAGACATCCCGTGCCAGGCCAAACCGTCAAGTGGCACCCACATGGGAAGCGATGAGTTGGGAGTCGGAGGATGACATAGAGGAGATCATGCGAGGAAGAAATGAGAGCTTGTGGGCAGTCGTGGAGCCAGGTTCAAAAGATTGGAGAGAAGAGAGCGGAATGGAGACTTGCTAATGAAGCCTTATGTTCCATTAGGAACCCATGGGATAAATGAATAATGATAATAATAAATTATTATTATTATTGCGACCATTACTCATTATCATTATTATATCGCTATTATTATGATTATCGTTATTATTATTATTATTATTGTGATCATTATTGTCACATTATTATTATTATCATCATCAGTTTTACGATTATTGTGATTAGCATTACTACTACTACTATTATTATTATTGTCATTATCAATATCATTATTTATAGTAATGATGGGCAATGGCTGGCAGTAAAATCCAGGATGTTTATTTCTTTTTATTTGGGACTCACTGGTCAGTTGGATGTACCTGCCTCCCAGTGCGGAGTGATGCTGTACCCACCGGGACTCGGTGGTGTAGTGGATAACGCCCTGGCGTTTGGAGCGATCGCTCCCGAGTCCCGGAGTGGGGAACAACATCACTCCGCACTGGGAGGCAGGTACATCCAGCTGACCAGTGAGTCCCGAATGGTATGGAATGCGCATCCTGGATTCTACTGTTAGCCACTACCCATCATTACGATACATAATTAAAACACAGGCAATATCAAGGCATCCGCACAGGAGCCCATATGCCAACAGAGACAGGTCATTTCGGTCCAATCAACGACGGTATGATATAAAAGCGCACATGGTCTTGTGTTCTTAGACTGCCGCCCCTGTATCTCTGAGACACAATTTCCGATGATTTATTCGCGTTCTAGCATACAACACGCCTCGATCTGTGGCTCCTACAATATCTAGTTTAGTCGGAAAAACAGAACCATATTATATCGTTCAAAACGTTTTCTTTTTCGCCTCTCCGGACAGTTTCTTTGCCAATGTCCAGGTTTCCCACATGCAAAGCATTTACCCTGTCTGTTGATGTTCATTCGAAGTGCAGCTACCTCTTCCTGAAGGTTTTCCGATTTGTTCCTGCCAGTTATTTACCTCTGGTGACTCCACTGCGCTACTCCTGTACCCATTAGCTGTCTGGTCACCGTGGCCATCCTACTAATGTTTATGGGTTGGGCTGCATTGACTAGTCGTAACTGCTGGGCGATGGCATTCGGGACACTTTCGGTGAACTGTGCAGCCAGCAACTGTTTTTGGGAGTCCTCATCCAACGTAGGAAGTGCTCGTCGAAGTAGTTTGGTCAACTTAACAGCCCAACGTCAGCGGATCTTCGTCTATTCCCAAGTTTCGGGCTCCACGTTCCACGCCATCATATGCTGCTTTCTCTCTACCCCTCAGCAACGTGCCCAGCACCATGACCACCTCTGGATTTTGGACCCCATCAGCTTCGTGACCGACTCGGAGTCCCTGAGAAAGACCTTGATGTCTCCATCCTCAAACACTGCAGGCCGTGGAATCTTTACCACGTCCACAGGCAGCAACACCAATTGAAGAGACAGACACGACGGAAAGAAGTTCTAATGTCAACAATTGGAACGGTAGTCGTTACAGTATAATTGTTTTTATATCAAAACGTCGTTGATTGGACCGAATTGATCGGTTTCTATTAGCATATAGGCTCCTGTGCGGATGCCTCGATATCACGCTTATTACCAGCAATCGGTAAAGATTCTGACCAAAGAAATTAAAGAGATAATGTGGGCGTATTAAGAGCAGAAGGGGAAATGAAGCACATTATGTAAATGACTATCAGCGTGGGAGTTATACAATATTTCCTGACTGCTGTACAAGATCTGTCACAGTCTTATCCTTTCCTACAAATGGTTTCGCTACTTCTGGACGTAACAAAGATTTCGTGGCTTGCTGTGTTCGAGGATGGAGATATCAAGGTGTTCCTCATGGACTTCGATTCCGTCGCGGAGATAGTGGAATAGAGCAAAAGCAGCATATGACGGAGTGGTACAAATCGATGGGAAGGGGATTTGGCAGAAAATCCTTGAACGACTGGAAACGGAATTTGACAACCCAACAACTACGTGCAGTGAACGCAGCCCCACTCATGGATATCAGTGTTCTGATCAAGGTCATCAGACAGCTAATGAGTGCAGCGATGTAGCTGCGGTACAGTCACCACAGGTAAATAAGTGTAGAAAACGACAAGACGAAAGAAGGAATCTTCATTACTGACATCTTGTACAGTAGTCATTAAATATTGTCACCTTCCACTAAAACAGTCATTCGTACAATGACCTTCATTTCATCTTCTACCTCTATCTCCAATCAATCAATATCAACATAGGACCAGGCATAACTGTGTAACGGTCCGAGTTGCCACACCTCATATCAGCACATCAAGTAAAAAGGTAGTGAGGTGAAATATGAAGATAAGAGAATGCAGTCAAGAGAAATATAAAGTACAAGCAAGAAAGGAAGAATGAGAAAATCGTGTTTTTTTGGACCAGATCTGCGCCACTGACATCGGTTCCCATCCATATCCCCTAGAGTCAGTCAGTCAGCCAGCCACTGGTTCCTCTTGTTCCGCGGACCCCAACCACCTAGTCTGCATCGCCCCACATGGCTCGAACCAACAGTCTGAGACTTCATGCATCGGTGCTATATTTTAGTCTGGCCACCTCGGGCCTTTTTCCAGGCTGAGCCTACTTCGGTGAACATTATGTGACGAGGCATACGGTGACTAACCATACACAACACATGTCCCAACCATTTCAATCGTCAACTGATTTACCTCTACTCCTGACTTCTGCGTTACTCAAGTGGTGACATCACGGAATACGGCCTATACTACGAAGGCAACGGTGGTCAAACACCTGAAGCTTTTTCATGTCTTCTACCTTCGGTGGCCATGTTTCACAGCTATACAGTAGAAGAGAGCAGACTGCTGTGCGGTATATGCGACCCTTAATAGAAAAACGGATATCGCGGCGGTGCCATATATGGCGTAAATTGGCAAAAGCTAATCGAGCTCCTTTCTCCACTTAGTCCTAATACGCCTGCGTTCTCAGGTCAGAATCTTTGCCCATTACTGACAATTGCCTATGATTTCTGCCCCTCTCTCAACTTATACTACTTATATGTCCATTCTGATCAGCAACGGATATATGAGTAGTATACGTTTAGAGGGCGGTAGCTTGCTGAAGGTCTAATCAGATCTGGAGGGCAGGTATACTCAACCCTTGCTATAATTGGTATAAGTTCGTGACGACTAATCCAACCTTTTGTATCCGTTAAGAGGTTTCGTTAACCACTGACCTATTTTTCTTTGTTATTTGTCCCTCGGGTTCCTAGTGGAACATAGGGCTTCACTAGCACGTCTACATTCCGCTCTCTTCTCTCCAATCTTTTGAACCTGGCTCCACGACTGTCACAAGCTCCCATTTCTCCCTCACACCCATCCCCTCCATGTCACCCTCAACTGGGACGCCCAACTCGCCGTTTCCCATGTGGATGCCACTTGACGGTCTGGCCTGGCATGCGATATCCCCAGTCGGCTTTCTCAGTGTATGCCCAATCCAATCCATCTCCACTTCCGTCGTCTGCATATTTGCTGGGTGACAGCTTCTTGCTTCGTTGCCGGAGGTCCTCCTTGCTTATTCTTTCTGACCATTAGATCTGATCTTCAGTATTGAGCGTAGGTAGCTGTTGGGATTGTCTACACTTTGTTGGGAATCCTTTTCGTAATACGCCAAGTCTCTCAACCATCACATAGAATCAAGAACTGACTTGACTAACATTAGCGTTGAAAATCCAGATCTTTTTTATGCTGAGCGCAGTAGATCTCTACACTGATCTGTTTCAAACTGATGCAGGAAGGCTTGTCTTGCTGTCTTTCCGATCCTTGCTGTGACATTGTCATCTATGCCGCCTGTAGTTGAAACGATCCTGCCTAGATAGGTGAAACAGATTACTTCCTTTAGGTTTCTCCTATCCACGGTGATTGGTGCTTGTGGTTTGTTGGTTGGGTATCTTCATCACTTCTGTCAACTTGTTAGTTTTCACCTGTAGATCTTCGAGTTTATGCGACATTACACATAAATCATCATCGTCGGTGAAATCCAAATCTTCTAGGCTCTTTTCATCAGTCCAGCCAGCCATCTTCACAAAGCTCCTCAGAAACATGCCAGAAGTGATCCGATTTCCCAGGTAAGTCAGTCATTTCAAGCAACAATTTACTTAGTTCTCCTCTTTTTTGCTTCTCATTTTCTATTCTCTTCTCATTATCTAGGTGTATAAAGATGATTGGACACGTGCAACAAACTCATTCATTATGAATTGGTCACCAACAATGAATAATAATACACAAGGTATAAATAATGAAATTATCATAAAATCTAACATGACAGCTAATAATGGTGGGAATAAATCGATGTCAGGTTTATCAATGAATCCTTCTATGCATTATAATGTAGAAGGTCATAATCATCATCCGCTCCCGCTTAACCCTTCAACACTAACCCGTATACATTTGTAGATGTAATGCTTCGCTGTCTCTCATTTCCCCCCCCCTCCTCTATTTCTCTGTCTCTTTCTCTTCTGTATGCGAAGTTTTAATGAAAAAGGTTTGTAATTTTGAAGAAATGAAAAAAGAAAAGGAATCAATTACTATTGTTATTATTATTATTGGTATTTTCAAGGAGGGTGGGTGGTTCGTGTCAGATAAACCACAACAATGGATAGAGTCATATATGTGTGCGAGGGTGGGGTGTATGTGTCTGTGTTATAAACATTCAATTTCGTTTAATTAAACTTCCCACAGGAAGGACTGACTGTTTAACAAAAGCTTCTGCGGCTGTACTACTATCATGAAGTGGATTGTTTGCTGAAGGGATACCAGTATCCCATTTGCTTGGTTTTTTCGGTTCTATGAATGGAATAAGAAGAGAGAAAAAAGTGATAGATGGAGGGTGAAGCGAGTAGTATGCTCATGTTTTCTCTCTCTCTCTCGACAAAACTATAAAAAGAAAGTGTTATAAAACTGAGAAATCTGCTCAGCAAACACTTACACATAGTTGGAAGTTGTAACCTACTACTATGGCAACCAGACGTAATCTGTCTGAATTGAACACGATCTATTCCCCTCCCTCCCCTTCGACAAACTTCCCGCGCATGGGTTATATTTCGTATGACCCGCTTCTATCTATTTGAATGCACCAATCATTCCTTGCGCTCCAAGGTCACAGTGAACTCTACAAAGAATAGGGTCCATTTATAGTTCGAGATGCATTCGTTAAGTATCTTCGTCCGTTCTCACAACTTTGCATCATAACAGTGGCGATGGGGATAAGATTTTCTGGTAGTGGATCCTATGAAAATTGAATATATATGTTAGAACAGCAATTCGAGCTTATTAAAATTTTGGCTCGTAACAAGATTGTTACTGATGTTGCACTACCGTCCTCTTCTTCACCGACTTCCTCTATGATCCAGAGATCAAAGTTACTTTCGACGCTTTGATAATCTTTTTAACAATTAGAAACTCTTCGACATGATGCCATAGGTTCAATTTGATGAACCCAATTATGTTCATGCTATCCATCAGTCATCAAAGTATGCTTCATCTCGGAATTCTGGCCCGACCAAATCTTCATGTGTATCTGACACCTCTCACGATATGTTGGCTTCTGGCACATTGTTGGACACACAAAGATGGTTGTTATAACTTCTGAAACCACCTTACTTGCATACATCTATGGGTTCTCCTTATATATGCGTCATTATCGTTTGCGAGAGTATGGCAGTAGTAAGTCCTTCGACTTAAGGATTACGCCATACAAGTCATCTTTGTACGATAGTCTTCATGGATGTAAATAAGGCAGCAGCGATCAAACCTCAACCATTGGTGCGTTTCTATAATATGCTTAGCTACAGATGCCGAAGAGGGTCATCTTCTACCGGCACCGCCTGTTTTTGAAGCCATTTCAGTATCCAAGTTCTTTCATCACCCACAAGTGTACATAGAAACTTTAATCTGCAATTCATACACAATACAATTTGACAGCAGAAAGTTATTCATTATTTAGTTGCGGCTGGCAAAAGAATCCAGGATGTGGAGTTTAGAATGATCGGTGTCAGGGATTGGGTTTCACCGGGGACAGGTACACATATCTGATGTGTCCAAAATAGGACGAAACGCGAGCCAAACTGTATTTCTGTGCTAGTTAAAACCAAGCAGATGATTGTATCAAAGAGGACATCACTACTCACTGGGATTCCACAGCTACCCATTATCAACAAATTACACATCATACCTCAACTTGGTTTGGTAATAGTGTCTGCAGTAAAGTTTTACTACCTTGACCTCATCACAGATGGACATATATTACTTAGATTACTTAAATAACGGCTAAACAGATTGGCTGTTTTCCCATTGGTCGAGAATATCCCTCTTAGAGTATAACAATTTATAATGCAAAAATGACCTTGAGAGCTAACCAATCACGACTCACCCATGTATCCTGTAGCAACAGATCCTCCAATGGTTGAATTTACTTTTTCAGAAAGTGAACTAGTAATATTCAACGTTTTCTGTGGACATGTATTAGTAGTAGTGTTTGCAGTTGTTGTATTTGTATCAGATTTTTTAAGTTCTTTCTGTAATTTCATTAATCTGTCAATTTCACGATTCTGTACTCTAGCAAGTTCTTCATAATAGGATTGAGGACTCCAACGATACGGATCATAGATATCCTGATTAGAAGAGGGAGGGAGCGGAGGAAAAAATGGAAAACTGAGTAGATACAATGTGATAAATTTTCACACAAACACAGTTGGATAGTTCTTAAAAGTCAGGAGACAATGAACATCTAGTGTTCCGTCCCAGTACAGGTCTCCTCAGCAGTACACCTTCAGGATTCGTGATGAATGCATCAATTATTTAATAATAGTTTACAGTTTCCTACTTTGTCAACGAAGTAGCTACGACTTATGGGGTCAGTTAGTTGGAAGTAAACCGGTACATAGTTCAATTCGACTGATATCTGAGTCCTGGATTAAAACGAAACAGTTGCTTTCCTGTGATCTAAAGCTTCTAATGGTTATCTAAGTGATGTCAGTCTGTGATGAATACTACCCCGAAGATGAGATCATTGTGTATTCACATACACACACTTGATCTATTTGAAAGTATCATAATACCCGGTTGCTAAAAAGGGGGACTAGATGAAACACAGCGGGGTTCGAACCTACAACCCATAATGGGTTTTGCATACATGACTATTATTTATAACACTTCTATAATGGTTTGATGATTATCTTAAGTCAGATTTAACTGCAGAGTATCTTCTTATCGAATATAGGAGTCAGACTTGGGCAATATGGTAGCTTGTAATTCCATTTTAGTCTATTTATTAGATCTGTCACACACAGCGAAGAGACAGTATCATTTACTGGAGAACAACATTTCGGACACAATCTTTTCTCCATATTCATATCAGGCAACTTACTCCACAACCGAGACACAGTTGATATAGTCCTTATGTACTTGCCTCCTTTGTGATATGGGTAGTAGAATGTTCCATATAACTGAGATACGTGCACAATCATTCCTGTTACCGCATCCTTTCAGTGTTGTTTCGATAAATAATGATGAATCGGTCACTAATCTCTTCGCTCTCTGCACACAACTAAGTTAGTTTGTAATACTGTCAATGTATACCCCACACTCTACTGTGTGGTTGTGTGTAATTGAGTGCACAGTTATAGCCAAACTAGCTTTCCTATAAATTTATCATCTTATTAGGATTTACCAGTCTTGATTTAGCTTAGCGTTTTTGTGCTGTGTTAGTTCTAACTGACTTTGGCTGGTCGACTACTTTGACTGACTTATGCAGTGGAACTCACAATCATTGCAAGGGATTTCGTAAACCAGAGTATACTGTCTGATAGGATTTTTTAACCCATAAAGCTTGTTTCTCAGAGAGTTTATTGGTTTAAGAGCCACCCGCTTGAATAGCAGCCAGTCTTATTTGGAATTCTTTGTAATGCTTCTGTGGTGCCTTCCATGTATGGTGAATGTAGAGAAGACAGAGGTGATGATGATACCCAACCAATACCACGACGACCACCAACAAGCTCCAATCACCATCAAAGGGAGAAACTTAAAGGAAGTAGCCTGTATCACCTATCTAGGCAGCATCGTTTCAACTACAGGCAGCATAGACGAGGACATCAAAGCCAGAGAGGATCGGAAAAGCAAGACAGGCGTTCATTAACCTAAAACTAGTGTGGAGATCTTCTGCACTCGTTACGAAAAGCATTTCCAACAAACTAAACACATTCATCAACAACTGCCACCTACGCTCGTTACTGAATCTCAGATGGCCAGAACTCTGGCTGGCAACGAACCAACCAACAACCTATCACCCAACAAATATGTATGTATCATGAGCCAGGTTATAGGCAGAGAACAGAGTAGAATTGAGACGTGCTATTGTTCCACTAGGAACCTAAGAAACAAATAATAGTGATCAAGTTATATATGATGCATAATTAGAGAATTTAACTTACTGTAGGAAAATTGGTACCTTTCTCATCAATCTTCAAGAAATCAATCAATTTCTCATAGATACTAAAAATGATGATTAGTAATAATAATAATAATGTTTTATATACAAACAAACCTTGGATTACGAAATGATTTATTATCTTGTATAGCTCTATTAGGATCATAACTTATATCTAAACGCATACGTCGAACAGCACGTTCTATTCTCTCTTGTAATAGCATAGAACAATGACCAACAGGTTCAGATGGTAATTGAATCTCTTCTATTAAACGTTGTGTTAGTGTAGGAGTTGATTGTTTCATTTCATTACTTTCATTATGATTAGTTAATGTTTTTATATCATTAATGATAATTTCTGATATGGTATGAATTTGATTTTCTGATAGTATAGTAATTGGTGATTGATTAATATGATTTAATTCATTATCACTCCTGTTACTATTATTATTATTATGATGATGATCGTGATCATGATCTGAATCTGTATTATGATCTGTATCTACTATTGTATGTTCATCATCATCTTCATCAATAGCGTAAGAGACTAAACCTGTTGAAGGAACTATTAGTATCACGGGGAGGGAGGGGGGGCAACTTACCTGATAATTTAGCCTTTTTTGTTGGAATTAATACACTACCATCTGAAAAATTATCATTATCCCCATCAGTTTTTAATGTTTTTACAATTATCTGATAATTACTATCAGGTGAATGAGCTATAAATTCCATATAAGAAACATAATCAAACTTACATATATTAACATTACCACTAATCGGTGTCCGAATATGTTCATCTTCTGATGTGTATATCGCTGCAATTTGTTCATCTTCCCCTGAAAGTTACACATTATATACATACATACATAAAACAATAGTATAAAGAGAATATAAAGTGACAGATTTTCTCGGGACCCCCCCCCCTAAATCATATAGTTCAAACCAACAATCATTGATGTCACATAAGAATGGAGACAGTGGGCACCCTTGATGGACACCACTCGATGAGTATAGCTCCCTGGATATCTCACTATAGGCTCTAGCACGTCCTTTAATAAGGTGATATAGTTATTCAGCACGCCTTTCAGTGACAAACATATCGCCTTCAGGCCTACTGTCAGGTCGATACACCCGTGTCCGGGTCTAAGGCCTGAATGGTTTTGTCGGGCTTGCGGTTTTCGAGTCCCATTCAGGCGTCGGAGAATTATAGATCTTGGACACTATCTTCGTCAGGCTAATTCCTCTGTGGTTTAGATTAGTCATAGGGGATCGTATTTGATTCCGTTAACATGACTAGGAGCACCTCACCACCATCCGTGTATATCTCTGGAGTTAGTCCGTCTGATCCTGTTGCCCCCCTTGTTTCAACTTGCCTACAGCATTCTCGACTTCTCCTAGTGTTCCCATTCAGGATCCGACTGGATAGCAGGCAACGCAACGGTAGCTGGAGACCAGTTAAACTGTTCCTCGAAGTGTTCTGCTCATCGTTCTAGCCGTCTCCCGTGCGAGTGAATCGCAAACCCGTCCTTCTCCGTTATAGTCTCACTAACCGCAGTTGACCTTTTTCCCCCAGTTTCCTTAATAATTCTAAATAACTGTCAACTGTTACCAATCGGGGCTGCCGTCTCCATCTCTTTAGACTTCGCTGCCCACTACTGTTTGCGGTCGTTGCGTAGACTTTTTCTCAATCTACTTTTAAGTTGTGTTTGCTCTTCATTCTGCCCGGAGCCTGAAAGGATACGTTTACGTGCATTAATTAGTTCGGAAGAAGCTGTTGATATCCACTGGCTCTTTTTAGCCATTATTTTGGAGTCTTCACTGCAGACTGGCAGTGGCATTAAGCTTCTTCTGGATAAATCATGGTGTCCTGTTCCGATAGCTGCCTAACAAACTTTTCACTGAATACGGCTTTGGTGTTTCCGTTGTCCACGAGCACTCGTAGCGGTTTTGGTGCCAAATTTTTCCTACGTTCATTGGGATGCAGGCACATACGAGCTCGCACCACCGCGTGGTCGCTACCCAAACACGTACTCCAAAAGCAGCGGCAGTCTTCCACTGATCCTCTTCAGCGATGACTAACAGCTATGTAATCTATCTGTGTCCATCACTGAGTTAAGCTCGGTAGACACCACACCAGACAGTGCCTTTCTTTATGTCCGAAATTTTTGCTAGCTAAAAATAGGCGGTTGTCTGGACACAATTGTAGTTGGCGATCACCGTTATCTGTATGTTCAGCGGGACTCCGAAAGTGCCTTTCTGCCTCACTCAGTCTACCCACTTGTGCGTTGAGGTCACCTGAAACAACCACCACGTCTGAACGTTTGGCTTTGAAGAGGAGGTTAGACAGTTTAGGGTAGAACTCGTCCTTCACTTCATCCGAACTACAGTCAGTGGGTGCGTAAGCAGAGATTACAAAGAGACAACGGCGAGTCTCACTATTCCTTTTAGTTCTTACTGTGCCGTTCAGCCTCATAACGCAGAGGCGACTATCAACTGGGATCCAGTCTAGTAGTGAGTTTTCTGTCCTAGTGCTTAATGCTATGCCTACACCTGCAAGACCACGAGAGCTAGCTGGTGAATCTCGAGAAACCCGAAGGGTGAATTTTGCGGATTCACCAGATTGGTCAGGAGAGGTCAGGTGAATAACCACACTTGGGTCCTGTACGCGCGTTTCACAAACACAGCACACATCCATGCGCCGAGTTGCTAGAGTCTTTGCCAACGAAGCCTGTTGACCGATTCGACGGAGGGTGTGGACATTGAAGGCTCCAATATGTAATTTGGAGCATGGTTTAAGGAGATCAGTGATGCTGTTCTGTGAATTCAGATCGTTATCAAAGGCTGCAGAGGTAGGAGAAATTGAAGATGATGTAGTATCGTTAGTTGAGAGACGTGAAGGAAGATTCAACTACGAAGCACTGGTGTGACCATCTTGAACCGTTGTCCAAACTAATCTAACTTTGTCCAGTATAGCTTCAGTTTTGTCAACTAGTATATACATCACGAAGGTAAACAGAAACAGCGACAGTGATCACTCTCTATAAGCCATTACACGACTATGAGCTTAAGTAGACAGCTGTGATTAACATTATAAGTCTGTTGGATACCGTTGCGGTGGTAAGTATGCCTATGCTCTAGAACCTTTCACAAGGTAGGAATTAGCGTCAATACACCTGGACGTCCAATTTTAAAACCAGCTTAGTTTTCTCCTAAAGTTGACACATGAAGAATTCTCTTCCTTCTTATAGACACCAAGAATAGACCAGTCCGAAAACAACACTACCTCTGGTCGATATACACTACTTTGAAAACTTCAAGGTGGCTAACTGCCAGGTCCTACTGCTTTGCATCGTTTCACACTCGACTTTAAGAAAAGTTAAATAAACCAACATCTATCATCATCATTAATATCAACATAGGACCAGCCATTACTGCGTAACAATCCGAGTTGCCACACCTCATATCACTACATCAAGTAAGAAAACAGGGAGGCACAAGATGAAGATAAGAGAATGCAGTCAAAAGAAATATAAAGTACTAGAGGAGAGAAAGGAAGAGTGCGAAAGTGGTGAGATTCGCCAATGACATCGGTTCCCATCCATACCCCTAGAGTCAGTCTCCAGCCACTGGTTCCTCTTGCCCCACGGACCCCAACCACCTGGTCTGCATCACCCCACATGGCTTAAACCAACAGTCAGCGACTTCATACAATAGTGCCATGTTTTGGTCTGGCCACCTCGAGCCTTTTCCCAGCCTGGACCTACTTCGGCCAACATTGTGTGACGAGGCAAACGGCGACTAGACATACGTAACACATGTCGGAGCCAACTATCTCAGTCGATAAAGGTTCACAACCGTGTCAACTGACTTATCTCTTCTCCCTAAAACTCTACGTCTGACTTCTGTGTTAGTTACGTGTGACACCACAACACACGGCCTAAACACGACGAAGGCAACCGTAGTCAAACACCTGAAGCCGCCTCATGTCTTCACACCTTCAATGATCATGTTTCACAGCCAAACAGTAGAACACACCGGACTGTTGTGCAGTACATACCACCCTTAATAGATATGGTGGTGGAGCCACAGGTGGCGTGAGTTGACAAAAGCTAATCGAGCCTTCAGAATTCGTGCATAAATTTCATCAGCTACTGAGCCACCAAGATCGTCAATACACTCAACCACTAAACTCACTCTCTGTCGTTAGCCAGTGCACAGTTGAACAGTAATCCTGGAGCAACAATTTACATTTCCCATCCCAAATATTCTAAAATTTCCATTCAAAAGACTCTTCATCTTGTCAGCGTTTACATCTAACGGGATTGTGTCATCCGCATATTTTAGGTCTAACGAAAATTCCCCAGCGATTAGGTCAACCTCGGTGCAGTCAGGTGACGAGAGGGAGACCTCTATTGAATGAGAATGGAGAGAGTAGGCAGTTGTGATGGAAACAACTCGATGAGTACAACTCCCTGAATATCTCACCATAGGCTCTAAGACAGTCGCGACATCCACGTCCTGGATGTTGAATTAATTTTAAAGATTATATTTGGGTTAAAATTCATGTAAACACTATTTCATACTGATAATTTATAACTATAAATTGTAAATACAATACCTGCTTCATCTAGTACACCTTCCCTTTCAATTACATCCATAGATTCTAAAAGGTGAATAGGAACAAAACAAACATTTTAAGTTTTATATGCATGTACTTATTGAGTAATAGGGGAGAAAAAAAGCCAAGTAAAAGAACCCACTGTGTAAAAATACCTGAAGTGATGACGAACGCTAAGTGAACGCAATGAAACACCTCGGTTGGATACGAATAACTGACTGCCCCCCCCCTCAGTGTATTTATACATTCACTAAGCCACGAAAAAATACCAACAGACAAAGACCTACCTTTAACCATAAAGGCAAGACAATAGGTTTTATCAACATATAAAATTACTCAGGCAAAAGTTGGATGGTGTATTCTGATTGGTTAACTGTAGAATAAAATTGTCCAATTAGATTTTTCCTGACCACACAGGGATATGAATGCAAGATTAAACTATAAAATTTTTTATCTTAGTGACTAATGACTTAAAACATCGATTTTTATTTGGGTCATTTCCTACACTGACCAGCCCTCCGCATTTTTTTCATCTAGTCCCAAGGTCAGATAAATAATGAACGGTAAAGAAGCTCGGTAGAACAATATGCGTAACGCGAATCACTTATGATGTGAAAATCTCCTTCATATCCAAACACATATTGCCACCAGATACGTAGACAACGATAATCGAACACAAAGTCGTCGCATACCCTCAGCTTAGAGAGACCAAAGTTTCATATGCATAGGGCAGAACTGATCACACCAAAGCATTGTGAACCTGATCTGTTTACGGTCAGACTAACGTCGCCATGGCGCTAAAGATGACTCAGGTTAGCGTATGGCACTCTGGCTTTTGATAAGCGGTTGGAAATTTCATCACTGGCACAACTACCCAGATACAGGAACTTTTCAACGGTTCACCCCACCGAGGATGAGTGCAGATATAGACTCCTACTAATTTTCAAAGAGTATTTTGCCCTTCCATTGTCCAAATAAGCAACTTCAACTAACGGCACGTTGAAATACATCTGTAAGAAAGAAGTGATGATTAGCATGAATATATCCGTGTGAGGATCTAAAGACAACTCGGCGAATATATTGATGCAATGGAGTATTATTTCTTATTATTATGGCTTTTGGGTTCCTAGTGAAACATACGGCTTCAGAAGCACGTCGCTATTTCACCCTCTTCATTGCAGTCTTCTTAACCTGGCTCCACGACTCCCCATGAGTTTTCCTTTCTTCTTCACACGATTTCCTCCATGTCACTCTCGGACACCCAACTCGTCGTTTCCCAGGTGGATTCCACTCGACGACCTGGCTTAGAGAGTGATGTCCGCAAATGGTTTTCTTAATGTATGCCCAATCCATCTCCACTTTCTTCTTCTGAATATTTGTTGGGCGACAGCTTCTTCCTTCGTTAATTCGTTGCCAGGCCAGAGTCCCTCCTTGCTTATTCTTCCCGTTCATCTGATCTCCAGCATCGAGTGAGTGTAGGCGGCAACTGTTTATATATGTCTACAATTTGTTGGAAATACTTTTCGTAACGCGCCAAGTATCTCAACTATCACATAGAAGTAAGCACTGACCAGACTGACTTACTGTTGAAAGTTCGCATTTTGTTCTCTATATTGAGTTGAGTGCAGCGCAGTAGATCTCCACACTGATCATTTCAGACTGATGAAGGAAGGCCTGTCTTGGTGTCTTTCCGATCCTGGCTTTGATATCCTCATCCGTGCCTATGCCGCCTGTAGTCGAAACGATGCTGCCTAGGTAGGTAGGTAGGTGGGTGGTAGTAGGTAGGTAGGTAGGTAGTAGGTAGGTGGTGGTAGGTAGGTAGGTAGGTAGGTAGGTAGGTAGGTAGGTAGTAGGTAGGTAGGTAGGTAGGTAGGTAGGTAGGTAGGTAGGTGGTAGGTAGGTGGGTAAGTAGGTAGGTAGGTAGGTAGGTAGGTAGGTAGGTAGGTAGGTAGGTAGGTAGGTAGGTAGGTAGGTAGGTAGGTAGGTAGGTAGGTAGGTAGGTAGGTAGGTAGGTAGGTAGGTAGGTGGGTGGGTAAGTAGGTAGGTAGGTAGGTAGGTCCAGTCAGTGTATACCCATCTTCTCACTCCTAACAGTTTGTTGCATCATCTTGTCCAGTCCAGTCCAGTCGACCACAATCAGGAAGATCATCGGTGGTGATGGTAGGCAGCAACCTTGTCTTACTCCTTCATATCTTCACTTCAAGGGCATCACTGAACTTTTCATCATCAATCACTTGGCATGTGGCATCATATAGCATAGCAGATAGGTTGGTAAATGTTTATGGTATTTCATAGTACTGAAGCAGCTGCCAAATTACTTCTCCGTCGACACTATCGAAGGTCTTTTCAAAGTCAATGAAATTGAGGTAAAGATCCAGTTGACTGCCATTCTATGCTCTTTTCTATGATGATGCGTAGTGTAGTGTTACAATTTGATCCTCATATGATTTGTTCTTCCTGAAGCCAACGATGCACTGAAGTAGGCGCCGGATTTATTATGTGAGATCGACTATAATATCCAGCTGCGCAAACTGCAATAAGTACAGCGGTAGAAACATCATACAAGTTACTCTAATGATATGCAGCGATGCATGTTTGAATATTGTACTATTCATCATTTTCTGAATAAAGTCATCTTGAAACATCGGCTTCAGTGAGACTACGATATGTTTTGTCATTATCATCCCAACAGCTTTCATACACTTGGCATGAAATCGGCTGGTCGGAGAGATAGACAACTGATACGGTCTCTAATCTAATGTAGGAAGAATCAACTGTAAGCAATGAACGATGAACAACTTCGAAGATGATTTCCTTTAAACCATGTACTTAACCAGTCCTAACACCAATAGTTCAGTGATTAAGTTTCTGACCGCACGACTGGGTAACGCAGGTTTAAATCTCAGACAGGACGTCAGTTCCGTTGAGGCTGAAGATATGTCCTGTGCTAAAAAGCACAAAACCTAGGTCCTATGACTTCATTTTGATTCCCCTCACCTAACAAACAGAAAGTAATTTCAGTGCTCAACTTTTAGACTAGTTATGAATCACCTTAAAACTTTCCTCTTTGAAAAGACTGAAAGGTGAGTAGCATGCGTATTTAGGATCTATCTCAAAATCGGGCATTCGCTGACATCATCCATGCAGCCATCTTAAACGGAAGAATGCTTTACATCTCTATAAAACCACTGATTGATTCTATAAACTGTTTTCTCGCTCCCGTTGATTTTTCTGGTTGTTCATTCGAATGGGTGTGAAGTGTATTTAAAAATACATTTAAAGTTACAGTCAACTTTGATGTAACGGCCTATGATGGCTGAGTGTAGTTGGCATAACTGACTGTGACGACTGTCATACATAAACCTGACCTTATCATGCTGCGATAGAACCTTCAGCCCCGGTGTTCTCACACATAAAGACAACAGAATCAACTTCTAATTCTTTCTTGCTTCTGGTTGGCGGTAAGTAAAGCCCACTTTAAACAGTCGATATACTTACTGTTTACTGGATACTTAGCATGAAATTGATTGAAAGAATCGGATTGACAGGTGATACGGTCGCTAAACTAGTATAGAAAGAACCAATTATCAGTAATGAATGATAGACAACCTATAAGTCAATTTATTCGGCTTCAATTAAGTCTAGAAAATGCTCGCTATTGGGAAAATGAATATACATTTCGAACAAGACGGAAAATTAACGATGAAGTAATAGATACAACAAACTGACCCACTAGAGTGGTGCACGTTACACAAAGAGGAGAATGATTTGATACTTTCCTTAGGTAAGGGTCTATCAGTGACTCCCTGACTTCTTGATTGATATCAAGAGATGGTATAGCCCAGTAAATTGAGAAATTATGAGATATTTCTTGGGATCATTTTATAATTTTGTATAATTAACACGAATCCTATGAAAACTATTTTGAAAGTATATCATGAAACTGACTGTTTTATATTCCGTGTTCCGTTTTAATTCATTTCGGTTACGACTTGATAGTGTTGTTATCGTATATTGTGGGACATTTTTAAGTGTTCATTTAGTACAAAGCTGAGATGTCCATGCAGCTATGCTCATCGAGTGGTGTCCGTTCAGGATGTCCACTGTCTCCATTCTAATCCAGTTTTATCATCGATAATCTCATTGAGGTCTCCCTCTCGTCACCACGTTATACAGACTTTGACCTAATCACAGGAGAATTTTCGTTAGACCTAGAATATGCAGATGACATAGTTCTGTTAAGTGAAGACGCTGACAAGATGCAGAGTCTTCTGAACACTTTGAGAATGTTTGGGATGCGGTTCTCACCACACAAATGCAAACTGCTGCTCCAGGATTGGTCTTCAACGGTGTCACGGGTAACAATAGAGAGTGTAATGGTTGGGTGTATCGACCACTTCACTTACCTGGGAAGTAGGATCAACCCTGCCCCGTGATTCAGTGGCCGATAAAACCTCTGCACGGATACAAAAAGATCGGCTGGCTTTTGCCAAATTATGCCACCTATGGCACCGCTGCGATATCCGTTTTTCTATAGGGTCGCATATACCGCACAGCAGTCTGCTCTCTTCTACTGTATAGCTGTGAAACATGGCCACCGAAGGTAGAAGACATGAAAAAGCTTCAGGTGTTTGACCACCGTTGCCTTCGTAGTATAGGCCGTATTCCGTGATGTCACCACTTGAGTAACGCAGAAGTCAGGAGTAGAGGTAAATCAGTTGACGATTGAAATGGTTGGGACATGTGTTGTGTATGGTTAGTCACCGTATGCCTCGTCACATAATGTTCACCGAAGTAGGCTCAGCCTGGAAAAAGGCCCGAGGTGGCCAGACTAAAATATAGCACCGATGCATGAAGTCTCAGACTGTTGGTTCGAGCCATGTGGGGCGATGCAGACTAGGTGGTTGGGGTCCGCGGAACAAGAGAACCAGTGGCTGGCTGACTGACTGACTCTAGGGGATATGGATGGGAACCGATGTCAGTGGCGCAGATCTGGTCCAAAAAAACACTATCTTCATCTTAACGACCCTATACCGACTCTCACC